TTCAGTTTTCTGCTAAGCATACACATGTCTTTGCATAATAAATATACGTAAAAATTTAATTATTTATTGATCATTGATTTTAATTTAATATAAATTTTATAGATTATCAGATAAAATATATGCAGAGTCCAAAACAGTGTATTTTTCCTCTCTTTCAAATAGTAAAAAGTAAAATTTAAAAAATGCCCTTTGTGCTTCAGCAGAATATCAATAGCATGACTAGTATTTAATTTACGAGCGATTAAAAATTTTTAAAGAATTTTTTGACGATTTAATATTTATCAGAATAAACAGATAAGAAACCTCATACAGGTATCTAATCACAGAAAAAGATTGTATAATGCTATACAGGTAAAAATGTGTATACTTGAAATTGAGATAAAAATTGAGAATAAAAAGGAGTGCAACTGAAATATCCTAAAAAAATTCTTATATCGATTACAAAAAACGGTAATATGAAAGAAGATTCGGTTTGTCTATAGCGCTGGCCTTTTACTATCGTTGATACCATTCTTGCAACGTGACACTATTGTTATTCTAATTGCCCCTTCTCTTTCGCAGAAAAGAAGGCGTGATGGCTGACGATTGCATTCGCCATCCACTACGATTTCTCCCACTATACAACCACACTCTGTCCTCCTACTCTGATGCTAGTTGGGCCACGTCTTTCTGAAAAATGTACCATCGCCGACCATTGGGTGCAATGGAAATCAAGGCTACCGATTGGACAGCCTCTAATGCTCGCTTAGGAATATTACGACCTCGTGCAACGAATCCAACGCACGTGAAGATGCAGATTAATGTAATCTTCATCAGCTATAACGTTATCGAGTCGGATCGACGACGTCACCGCCTTCGAGTTGCTCCACGCGAAGGATTTATGTTAATTCTGAGGTAACCTTCATTGAAATTAACTATTTTGCGTAACGCTTAAAGATTCTTACTAATCGAAAGAGTCTGCGATGCAATCAATTCTTTTGTTCAGATTTTAAAAGCACACACAATTTGCCTATACTACAATTCATGTCTTTTTTTTTTGCAGTAAAATGATAATAATAAATATCACAAAATAAACAAAAATCTATCATATTCTAAATAATGTTAAAAAATTTTTAAAGGAGGAAATTTCTATCAATATCATTTTACAGCATTTTTGAATATTTTCTCTAATAAATATATTTTCATTTTTTTTTTAATTTAAAGATACACCAGCGTTTTTGTAAAAAATATGTAAAATGTTAAAATGTTACAAAAATTTTTCTATTTATATATACTCTCTGTAATGTGGCATTTATCACCAACATGTGACATTTTTTATTCTTTACTGCTATTTTACCGGAATGCATATAATTACGTAACAATAGGCAGAAACGCTTCGCTAATTTAGACTTGATTAAATCAATCTCGGTTTTAAGAATTTAAGAATATAATTAATTAAGAATTATACATTGGCTTAAATTAACTTATTCAAAGATTAGTGATTTATTTTTAATTTATAATTTTAAATCTCTTATAATAAAAATAAAGAAAAAAGAAACTCTTAAATAGGATTGGCAATGATATAATTAACCAAATAAATATTATAATGTTTGATGTGCACAGCTATATTAGTAATTATTATACAATATCGTTCTTTTCTTTTATATATTTAAATAAATAAACTTCGACTTGAAATGATTTATTTAAATTAATCGCAACGATTTATATTTGTTAAATGTCTAGTAATGATAAAAATATATTCACTCTATCAATCTTAGTATTAATATAGTATAAATATTGAAATTGTAGAAGGTTTCTATCATAACTAAATCAAAGTAATCTATATAATTGAAATGTATACCGAAAAAGACTCCGCGCATCGTGAAACAATACTATATCATTACTCTATCGTACTCTAACAATAAGATAAAAATATGCTTTTCGATGGGTGTCGCTTTCATTGCGAGATCAAGTTGGAGTTATTTGAGATACGAGGAAGTATTATGGCTCGAGCCGACGGACACGGAGATCGATAGAAGCGAGCAGGATTGATGAGGAGAAAGGTGGATAGTCGTTAAACCAATGTGGGGAAAGAAATGAATGAGACAACCGCGAAAAAGATCGGCAAGTGGAATGTTGGTTAATTTATATAGCCAAGTCTAGTCTATGCCGGAATTTGCACGTGCATTATACTCCTGCATACCAAGACGCGTTTAATTATTAATATTTCAAAAACGCAAACAGGATTTAACGTCCATATATATCTTGTGTAATATTATATCGCAAACGCGAATTATCACGTAAATGTTTAAAAAATAATCAATTAATCGCGAATCCGCGATTGGTTTTCTACTTGACAATAAACATGAAATATATAAAACCATATTTATAAAATATTAGCGATTATTAATAAAGTATCAATCAAATGTGTATAAAGTATCAATCAAATCGCTAAATTGTATAATTCTGATTTTTAAATTTATGTTTTTTATATAAAATTTATATAAATATTTTATATATTAATACAATATATTTCATTATATTATTGCAAAAGAATATATACTACATTTTCCTCGTATTTTCTCTTGTATTTCGCGGAATAAAAATTTTATTCTAATATGAAATTATGATATAAAACAAATGTGCGAAATATATTAAAAATATTGTAATACAAGTCAACAAAGCATTACAAATTTGGGGTTATAATATTAATATATATTTTAACTAAAAATAAATTTCCATTTTATTATGCAACAGGATATCTTAAACAATAATTTTTATTTTGCGGTTATTGATCAATCGTTCGTAGATAAAATAAATAGATAATATCCATACACTACAATAGGCCGTTTAACACAAAAAAGAAAAAGAGAAATAGAAATATCACTATTGCATTCCACTGAGCAACTTATATGCTCATGTTATCAGGCAAAAGCTTTTATAGTACCGGTATTCAAAGTGCCGGTACACAAATTGTATCTTAGCTATGACAGGTATTTACTACTAGGCACGAAGGTATGTCACAATGTTTGTGCATTTTGTTGCATATATTTTATTGTTTTTATATTTATATATAAATAATGCATTCTAAAAATATTATATATTTATAATTTATAATTTTGATCCTTGCAAAAGAAGAAAAAAGTGAACTAAATAAATAAAACAATACAAAAAAAAAGACCGGGTGCGAGACTCACAATCCTGTAATATTTTACCCACAGCCATACTATTCTACGTGAAGCTGGACGGCTTCCTTCTTACTCGACACTCTCGCATAAGTAGGCGATTCAAGTGCCGCTTCGTGCAAAGAGCCACGAAACGTAAAACAGAGCACAAAAAGAGCAATCCATGAGGTGGATGAGAAGGAAGCCTTCCATAAGGAAGCCAAGTTTACGAGATGATTGTCCTACGGGCCCTATTCATTCGACATGGAATCTCCAAGCGGATCTCTATTGTAGATTATTGCGCCATTGTCCATTGTCGCGCAATCCGCCACAACTGGCCTTCTTAGATCTCTTTGACGCAAGGAAAAAAAAAAAATTCGGCAAGAATGAAAACGGCGGCATCAGATTATAGTGTTTCTCAAAATAGTTTGGATTATGAATAGTGCAAAACCATTCCATATTGCATCAAGCAATTATATGTGTATATATATAGTAAAAAATATGGAGAAAATAACATGCGAAAAATACGTATGTAAATATAAACAAATGTAGAAATTTTATTTGTAGATTCACTGTCGTGGCGTGTTAACCCGAAATGTATACATTAAGAGGATAACACGTTCAGAAATAAATTCAAAACTTGAAATAAAAATCCATTAATGATTTACGGCGTTTTTTAAACAATCTATACAACTTGCATTAATATAATTTAGCATGTTACTATCTCAAAGTCAAGTTAATGCCGCTTGTCACGGTTAAATATATATTTCAATATTATGATATATATAATTTATTTGAACAACAATTAAATGCATATTTCAAATATATGAATTTAAACAAAAAAATTTTTCAAGCGATGGTTATTAAAATATTATGATCAATATTTCTCTTTTATATTATAACAAAAAATACTCGAAATTCGTAAATTAATTTAATAAATTCGTATTGCAAAATGCCAAAACTCAATATCATTGCACAAGTGGTTGAGTAAATAAAAGCCCTCGATTATTTAATTTCAATTAATTTTCAATTTAAGGATACAAAGTCGACGAGGGTGATAAAATTAACGGCAATTAGCGACAATTAGCGGTATCACGTGCCTCGTATCTTAGGCGATCGAAAGAAGAAAGCGTGCAGCTTGCACGCAACGCGGATACGGACAAGAAAGTTTTACGTAGCTGCGGGACAAACGTCGATGGAAATCGAATGATGCGGAACAGGCACCTGCGTGGGTACAGGCAATTACGTATGAATAACTTCGACGAAAAAGTAGCCGATCACATGCCTCTGATCTTATCGACACGGTGTCGCACGCATTGCCGAAGGTCTTAGGACCGGTATGACGATGCACAATTATCAATAATTGAGAAATTTTTTTCGCGTGCGTAATTCAATATAACGAGCCGGCGCGCTCATTAATTTGATATTACAAGCGCTGTCCCCGAACTCCCGTTATTATATTGCCGCATATAAGACCATTAACCTCTTTTCGCGACATACAATTTATGGTTTTTTTTTTTAGTTGCTCCGCAAATTTTGGAAACGAGTGTTCCGGTCAGATGTGTTTTTTTCAAGACGCTGACCCAAATTACTCAATATATATAAACAAGAAAATATATAATATCGCATTATATATTCATATTCATTAAATAACAATTGATTGATAATAAAGGAATAAACTGTATATATATATGTCTTTATATCAGATTTAAGGAATTATGCACAATTGTTAAGATTTGCGTGACAGCTGATGTAGTATATAAGACTTGATATAGTACTTCTATTCTCTTATTTTATTAAAATTGAAAACAAATTCATATTCTATGATTCCGTGAATCAAACCCTTAGAGAATTTTCTTTGAAGTTATATAACTCTTATTTAATAGAAAATAATTATCTTTTGTTTATATATATACACATTTATAATTTTGAATGAATTTTAAGAATATTAAAAATTATAAATACTTTCTTAAATTTAATAGCAAATACTTTCATCGTATACTCTATATAAAATAATGTAAATAATATTACTAGAATCTTTCTTTAAAAAAGTAATATTTATCATTCATGTCATAATAATAAAAGAAAAAATATTTCTGTGACATGATTAATCAAGAAATATTAACATAAATAATTAATACATATATGTTGTATAAAAAGTGTGAAATAATTTATATTATAAAAATTTCTATGCCATGATTAATCAAGAAATATTAACATAAATAATTAATATATATTGTGTAAAAAGTGTGAAATATAGTATATATTATAATAAAGAATATATATACACAGGAAAATTATTGTTTAAAAAAGATTGTAAATAATTATTAATCAGTTTGAACATATACTGTTACTTTCTGCTCTACACTGTACAGATAGAGGGAGATATCAGTATCTCATCAATATCAAAGATAAAATATCGATTACTATAATCATCATCAAACGTAAAACACAGACACTTCAAAATTATCAAAAATATCATGTAGACATAGGTAATAAGAGATAAAGATCAATGAAAATATAATTTAAAAAAGATTATAGAGCAATATAAAACACATGCCTCATTTACAGCATACAAACATATATATCCCCAGGGTAATTCGAGAAACATAATTCAGATTCTGATGAACCTAAAGTCACGAGTGCCGGTTTCTCGCGGCATATATCGCCGCGGCTTCCTTTCTCTGCTACTTTAGTTGTCTTTTTTCTCTCTACCCGTTCGTTCTCTCGACGCGTCAACCCTCGGGTCGCATACCATCTCTCAACCATGTGAGAAATGACCTTTATGAATCGCCGCAGCAAGTGTCGCGATAATTGAACCTTGTAACATTTTATCTTTGCTGCCGCACAATAGTACTACCGATAATTAAACTTTTAATGTTTAGTCTACCAAAAAATTTCATTTATAAAAAAATATTAACGGTGAAACGAGATTTATGCATTTAAGAAAATATTAGAAAGTATTATGTAGCTCGATAGTTGTGTGTAACATTTAATATATTCTTTTGGTAATAATCGAAATTATCAGTGAATTTACACATCTAATATAAATTCAAATATTTTATCTATATCATGTGTCTATTATTTAGGAGAATCATTTAATGCCAAAAAAGTTTAATTATATTACAATTAAAAGTTCTATATTTTGCTACATAAGGTGATTTTTATTTGGGATCGTTCAAGTTTAATTTGCGTTATTCTCGGCAATATCCGGCTTTGAGGAAATAAATATAAATAAGGAAATATAAATAAATAAAAATAAAACAGCTCCGAGTCATAGAAATTATATATTTAGATAATTAGAATATATAGAAACGATTGCGAAATCGAGAGAACGAGAGACGGGAGTGATACTTCAAATGAATGATTCACAAAAGGCGAATCAGGAGATTAATTATACGCTTACCTTATCAAGCCGTTGTCCTTATGCTTGCCGATAAGAAACGTCAGCACGCTATCGGTCATTTGATTAGCCCACGGTGGTTTCACCCAGATCAAATTCTTGAGATGACCCGCGTATACTGCAGGCAAAATCCAATTCTCGATGCTGATCTCGCTGAAAAAGTATGGAAAACATAAATATCCAAAATAATTACGCTTGAAATTACTTTAGTAAAAAGTTTATAAACCAAACAGCGTATTTTTTTTCTTTTCGTATTTTCTGTCTTTTTCTTTTTACAAGACAGACTATTCGCGATTTTAATACAGCGTTTATTAGATCTTCATTTTCATGTAAAACGCAACAATATGAACAAATTATTTCGCATCTCATACAGTTACAATGACATTTACCTGTTACATTGCAATATTATTATATTTACTGAACCAATCAATTTAATTGCACCATCAATTAACGTTTGATTACGACACGAGCATAAATTTAAACGGATACGTTTAGTCATAACGTTTACCATCAGTGTTACAAACAATCAAATATATTCGCATGTTGGTACCATTGAACTTGAACTCGCGCAAACTTCGAAATTAAAATTTATCCAAACAAATTTGCATATATATTGCTTCATACTAAATACGTGATTGGCTGACTTTTTGTGCATGTTATATGTTTATCTGGATAGTCGTGTGTAATAAACAAATACAGAGTAATCATCTTTAATAAATATATCTCAATTTTTATCGTAACCATCTTTAATAAATAATATCAATATGCATTATATTGTATTCAATTAAAAAAGTCAATTCCCCGTTACATTCCTTCGCACACATATTTTTTACATAAAGCTAAATTATATAATACACTTGATTATTTCACACATAAACAAAAAGATAGAATTATTATACGTACTTGAACAATTGATTCTTATCCCAGACCGTATCGGCCGGCATCTCTTTGGGTATCAGCATATCGGGATGCGAATCCAGATGTATGAAGGTATTGTTTTCGAAGGGCAGGTGCTTTGACCCCACACACCGATATACGAACGGTAGAACCTGATAATATAAACACAACACATACAGAAAATATTTATTCGGAAACTAAAACTCTCGCGTTCGCGCGGCGCGTGCAAATTAGTGGACTCGTCTAACACGTAACAGCATCGTGAAGTTTGCTTTCGCTTGAAGTTCGCTCGAATAATCGATTCTTGATGAGCTAGTGAATTTTTGTGCACCCAAACTCAAGAGCTTCAAAAGATCGATTTAAATCCCTATCTTATTTCGCGTTACCTACTTGTCTTTGCAATATAATACTTATTTACGAATAAATTTATAAATAAAAGAGCGTGGAAAATCTATAATTTATGTGACGTATATTATAGATTTCCGATACTGGCAGTGAATTTTGGAATACAGGAATTTATATAAAAATATAAAAAACTAACCTGTATATATTTTATACATAATTGTATATGTAAATATAGAACGAATATGTAGTAGATAAGTAGATATAAAGTGTGTTTGTTTCGTTATATTAATTGATTATTTGCGCAGTTATTAGATAGTTTCTTGATTTCTAAGACAATCTTTTACTCTTATAAAAAACAAAGGATAAATATATTATTTTACTATTGTGATTGTAATTTCTCATATCCTTTCTGAAGAATATAAAATCATACGAAAATTAAATATTTATGAAATTAATATTAATCAATTCTTTAAAATATATTAGATATAAAGTGTGTTTGTTTCGTTATATTAATTGATTATTTGCGCAGTTATTAGATAGTTTCTTGATTTCTAAGGCAATCTTTTATATATACAAACTTGTACATATTATTTAAAATTTCACGTGCACACAATACGACCGCGAATTTCGGAGCTGCGCTACTAACGCCACAACGTCACTGCGCATGCGCTACACGATGCAGCGTCATCCTACGACCTACGACGCATTCCACTTGATGCTCCCGAATGCTACGAACGCCACTGCATTGTACGCTTCAATAGAACATGGGTTCCAAGTTGGACCGTTCAGAATCGTGCCACGAATACCTCGAAATATTCGTAGCGTCGATTGGAATGCAGCTCGAGGCACGTAAACAAACGTGAGAACGGCGTGCGATGCGCCCGCTGTTCGAATATACCCACCTCGTCGTGATCCTCGACCACGTAGATCGGTGTTCTCTTGAAGTACTTGCGTGCGAACGACATATCTCGTAATCGCCGAGTACGCTAATTTGACGAACGGATTGTGACGGGATTACGATGACGCTAGGCCGACGAGACCGCGCGGGTTAAACGATCGATTTTCTAATTAACGCCAACGCGACGACAACGAACACGACGACACTCGAATCGCGGACACGCGGAGGACTGCTTCGCGCGAAAACACGTGGTCACCGACTGAAGTTTGCTCTTAGGCGCGCGGCTCAAACGATCATTTCGCGAATAAAGGGACAGGGGCACCGGACAAGGGTTTACTCTAAATTTCTCACGAGACGAGTTTCGTAAGGTGGTTCTCTTTTTTTTTTCTTTCTTTCTTTCTCTTTCTCGTGTCTAGCCTAATCCCCTCCCCCCCTCCCCGTCCCCCTAGGTATGAGGACTCCTTGGAAACCTGATCCTTTCAACTCACAGCCGGTATACGGCGAATGAATGTCCTAGAGTCCTAGAGTATCATTTGACGTGGATAAATTTATCCTGACAAATCGGAAGATATTTAACGAATCATTAAAAGATACACGTCATATAGAAAAAGTTTTATTAATAACAAACTTTTATTAATAAATGCTATTTTCAATTTATTATATATATATAATTATGTATATAAATAACTGCTGATTAGATAAACATTTATTATGTGCATTCAACTATTAATAAATTCAAGCCATTATAAAACAATATTCATACATAAAAAAGATATTTATTTATATACAGGGTAGAAAAAAAAATCAATTGTCTCGTGAATTATTCAATATGCAACTCCAAAAATATATCGCGCACATATGATAATTACATGCATGTTAACAAATATCGCTATAAATTCTTATAGAAAAATAATTTATATGTTAAATTATCTTTATTGCTAGCAAATTGACATATATTCGATCGATAAAACTAATATACAGGATTCGATCGCAAAAGATCAATCTAATTGCATAACCGTAGGTCGCGAATCGGTAGGAGAAAAGGTTACCTCCGACACACAATTTACATTTCACATGATGCGTGTTAAGTATCAACGATGCGTGACCTTTCGATCGATTCACATGTCATTCTTTGCCGTCACAACATGAGCATAAACACATTCGTGAGAAAAGATAATTCGACAAAAATTCGCCTGCGATGTACGTCGTATATATACATATATATAATTTATTATCATATTTTATTTAATTAGTTCAATTCCGTGCGCGATCATTGATCGTATGAAGCCCAGTTTTCGAACATTTGCGACTTATAAATCTGTAAATGCAACTGATCTGTTTGCATTCGCAACGATGATAAAAAGCTGTCAATATCAGTTTCATGTGAAGAAACATCGTTTGTTAAATTATCATCTAGCCTATGAATATTCGAATTTTTAGGACAATAATCGATCTCTGGTTCCCAATATTCTGGTAAATAATTAGACTGTATTGTTTTTCTCTCATATGTGCGAGAAGGGTGGGAACTGGCAAGTATATGTTCGTTCCACTGATGAGGATCGTTTTGATTTGGTACGCAGGTTTGCTCTCTTGTATCTAGATTATAGTTTAAATTAGAATATGAGGCTCGCGGATGGAAGTGTTGCGCAGCAGAATTCGATGAATATTGAGGAGTTTTTCTTGTGTTTATAGTTGGATGTGGAGTTGATATAGAATATTTTGTACAAGCAGCTGAATTGTCTACACTATTTTTTGGGTCATCTTTATGAAACTTCACATGTTTACTAAGTTTGTTATATGAATTGTTCATACTATTATAAAGGATATTATTTGTTTGTACGGGTATATATCTAGTTTGAAAGTTCTTAACTTCTTTATCATACATAATATCCTTTTCACTGTTTTTTTCTTTATGACTACTACTGGGTGTTATTTCCTGCTGTTTGTTGGATACAACTTTACTAGCGCTTGAATATGTAATATCTTTATGGAATGATATAAATGACGATTTGCTTGTAGTGCTGCACATACTTTGATTATCTTCTTCATTCATTAACTTATCTAGTTGAAACAACAGTTCATTACCATCCTTTGAATCTTCTTTATTTGCAAGAATTTCTTCATTTCTATTGGAGATTGTATTAGTAATATTATAGTCCTTATCTTGTATTTCATGGTCTTTTTGATTGACAGTTATAACTTCATTAGATTGAGTCTCTTGCATCTCCTTTGAACTTCTTTTTGAACTATTGTTTATTATATGTATTTCTGGAGAATCCATTTCAGCAATCTTCTGATGTTGAATTGTGTTATTATCCTCATTTTCTAAAGAAATCGATTTCTGAGACACTTGTACACATTCCATCAATTCACTATTTTTTTCTGAAGAAACCTTTTCAAAGACTTGTATATTTTCTGTTAATATACCATTTCTTTCTGAAGAATCCAGCTTTTCAGACAATTGTAAATGCTCCATTAATTTATCGTCTTTTAACTCTCTTTTTGCTGCTTCTTCAGTAAGAAATGCCTTCATATCCGAAAATGACAAATTTTGATCTTTTATTTTCTTAATCAAATCATATTTTTCAGTTTCACTCAAAAATGCTATATAATCTATTATTTCTATTAATTTTTCATTGGGATTGCGATATGTACTAAAATACTGTAATGCCTTGCGATATTCTTCGATCTCAGAGCTTGATATCATTAGATTTGGCATATGTTCATCAATATTTATACTATAAGGAAAATATGCATCAAATTTAGTTGTCACCGTACAGTAACGGCTTTTAAAATCTTCTATTTCTTTATACATATCCAACAAATTATTATTTGAATTATATCCTGAATATATATAAGTATCCTGTATTTCTTCATCATTACGAAGTTGTGGAAAAATACATAAAAAAGCCCGTTTTTGTATATTAAGAAAAGTCTTTAAAGCAAAAAAATGTTCTTCGTATACTAGCTTATGAACAGAATCTGTCATGTCTTTATATGTCTTATTTAATAAACTAATTTCGAGATCAAGTAATTCTTTCCAATTGGAAGCTATTTGCAAAAAAGATTCTTCATCATTTATACAATTGTCTTTGTCATTAATTTCTTTAGCATGTATTAATAAGTAATCATTTAATTCTTTCCATATTTGATTATCCTCACTAATATCCAATTCACTTATAGATGATTGCAAATTGTGCATTAAAGTAAGATCTTTCATAGAACATGTATTCTGAGAAACATTTGTAGAAATTTTTTCATTATTATCCATTTTATCATCATTTTCTTCTTCTTTACTGATTGATGGAGCTTTTATATATTGCATGATATTTTCAATGTCAACACTTTCTTTTTTATAATCCTCTATATTTGGTACTTCAAACACAACATTTTCATTTAATTTTTCCATAAGGGAAGGATTATCTGGATCAGGAGTTATTTTAAACTTATATCCGTTTCCTGATTTAAATGAGTCTGTATTTAATAAATCTTCATGCTCTTCTCCAGAAATTTTAACTCCAATAGATTCTGCAGTTGATATCTCTTTATGCTTTTCAGATTGTTGGAGATTGATTCTTCCTTGAATTTTTTCTTGAACATTATGTTGAAATAATGAACTAATTTTTATCTTTTCATTTATATCAGTTCTTCTTGACTTTATACGTAAATTATTAGACACAGTTTTACGATGCTTCTTGTTTTTTGGTGAAATACAGGTATTAGGTTTTTCATTTAATTTAATTTTAATATTATTTGTAATATTATTCTCTGGTGATGGTGTACCATTGAGTGGTGTGTCGCACTTTGATGAGACACTTTCACATTTGTCATATTTCACAATAGTAATATTTGCAACATTATTTTCTGATGATGACTTATCATTGACTCCTATATCCATGGATGAGATGCTTTTACATTTTTCATGTTTCACAGTAGAAATACTTGCAACATTATTTTCTGATGATGATGCATCATTAACTGCTGAAGATATGGACATAGGTATCACTATAGGCGCACCATTTTCAGATTTTAGAAACGTGTTATCAATGTTTATGTTGCTCGTCTCAGACTTTGAGTAAATTTTCTCAAATACTGTAATATCATCGGCCCAAACATCTTCTGCATAATTAGAATTAAGTTTGAACAGATAAAAGTTTGGTCCACCAACCGAAGTTAACAATTGTCTAAATAACGGAAATTCGCTTTCAGAAATAATGGTGATAGAAATTCCATGAGACCCATAGCGACCAGCTCTTCCAATTCTATGTAAATACGTCGCCGAATTTTTAGGTACATCAAAATTTATAACCATATTAACATTTTCCACATCTATACCCCTTGCAGTTAGATCCGTAGATACCATAATTCTACATTCACAATTCCTTAACTTTTCAATCGTCTCCAATCTTTTAGCCATGTCTTGATTTCCAATAATATATAAAGATGAGAAACCCATAGAATTAATTTTATTGCTGACTGATTGAGCTCTAAAAAAACAGCACAAATAGGAGAATAAGTAACTGTCATATATTAAATATAAAAAAATTAAATAATCATTCAAACAAATTAATTTATGCATACCGTGATTGATAATTCATAAAAACTAAACTTTGCTTAAATGGAATCTTCGTAAAAATTTTCACTAGCTCATCCACTTTTATTTGTACCTGAAAATATAACAGGCAATGTATAGAAAATCCACTTGTTAATAAGATAAAAGCTAGTTGTTCAAATCTTGTGGTAAATGAAAAACCTGTTTCATGGTATTGGGATGTGCAGGAACTACAGCCACAAATTGTTTGATTCCAATTAAAATTGGTGCATCAAGATCAGGTGATGTTAACACTGGAGAAGACATGTATGTTTGCACAAATGTTTCTAAATCTCCAGGATAGGTAGCACTCGAGGCTATAACTTGCTTATTGCATGGTAGCTTAGAAAATATGTAACTATAGAAAATAATTAATATTGTAATTTCAGTAATCTTTAAGTTACTAATAATAAGTTTAATTGAATGCACTGATGCAAATTAAAACTCAACATGCACTAATCTAGATATAAAAACAATTATTTTAATTGAGGAAGGGAAAAATGCTTAAGATATATATTCCATCAAGTAATAATGATAAGTTATACTGAGCATTTCATACAATTTGTTACATATACATCTTTATCCCAATATATGTACAATATTTAATATGCATCAATGCAAACTTATTGCACTCAATACATAAGTTTAATTAAAATTTTATACTAACTTGATATCTGTTTGAAAATTAATCTCCATTAACTTGTCTGCTTCATCAAGAACAAATAACCTGATTTTTGAAACTGTAAGCAATCCCATTTCAATTAAATGTTTAACTCTGCCTGGAGCACCAACAGCTATATGGCATTTGCTTAGTTTCTTCTTATCTTCTTCTATCAATATGCCTCCCACAAAATATTCAATCTTTAATCCTGAAACAAAAATAATTAATAAGCAATATATAATTGGCAAAGATGGAAATAGGTTTCTCTAAAAAAATAAGGCACCAATTTCTGTAACTGGATATACCTTTTATTTTTGAACCTATTGCTTGAAGAACATGACATATTTGAATAGAAATCTCCCTGGTAGGTGCTATTATTAAAACTTGTGGAGTTGATATTTCAATATCTAATGTTTCAAGAGCAATGACACCAAATACGATAGTTTTTCCAGTTCCTGATTTTGCTCGTATTATCAGATCTGCAAACCATCATTACTTTTAGTATATAAATATCAACTTCTATATTATTAAATACATATATATTTGTATATGTATGTATGTATATATATTGTTAGTACCGAATCCACAACGCCCTAATGGAATGGCTTTCAACTGAATGGGGGATGGTCGTTGAAACCCAGCAGCTGTTAATCCATCCAAAATATCATCTGGAAGACCCATTTGAAAAAATACAACATCTTCTTGTATCTTTACATCTCTCGTTCGAGGTGTCTTGCTTAAATCATGTGCATTATATTGAGCCATTTTCTACCTAAATATGGAAATCTACATAAACAAAAATGCATATATTAAAAATATATAATACTGTATCAAATATAAATAAAGAATTAAAATATGAGCAAGAACATTTCTTTTTATAAACTTGGTTATATATTACTCTACAAGTTTGATAATTAAAAATTCTGCTTTGTTAAATACCCTTTAGAAAGAACGTTAATAATGCATTAAAACAATATGATATAATATCAACAATATTTAATAATATCACATATTCAAAAAGTAGACAATTAATAATACAAACTTGAGCCGGTTTGTTCCTATTTATTTCTTGTAACACGCGTAATGTCTCTATGCTTTCTTTTATAACTTTGAATCGCATAAGCTACATTTTCAGAAAACACAACAGCTGACTGAGCTGACTAATCGCTTTGAATCGTCTTTTGGAAAACGGATCTGATTGATAGATCTAGAAATATTTACACACCGGTTAAGTGTTTAATTGATCAATCAGAACAAAAAGAGTAGAGATTTCCTGATTGGTCAATTCAATGCTATCCTATTCCACAAGTCAGATTTTTGAACACACTCTCATAGGAAATACTGTTTTCTGAACGCAGTCATTTTATCTAACTTATGTTAATACATTACCAAAATCTTTATATGCTATCAATATTTATTCAAGCAATATAAACTCAAGATATAAAAGTTAAATCGGTATTTATACGAATTTAATAAAAAGATGAAGTATATATAGCGGTGCATTCCGTAATTACATGCACTTATCCATAGGGTAAAATAGAGAGAGGAATAGAGTCGCTTTTTCTGTCAGTTTTCTGCTCAAGACATTTTTGAAATAGTGGATGCTATCTCTTTTCTCGAGCAACATAAATAATGTCGTTGACATAAAATTTTGCAAAATTTTGTAGTTGATAAAAGTGTGGTGTTGTTGCTAAAAATAACGCCAAAATGGGGCGCCGTTCGATTAATACCACAAAAAGTGGGAAATATATGAACCCCACTGATCAAGCACGTTAGTATTTGAGAATATAACCAATCATCTCTACTTTCAAAGAGCGTCACTTTCAACAATTAAAAAGAAATATATAATGTGAAAATATATAATTGTCTTTTTTATTACAGGAAAGGAAGCGCGGAAGAAGGAATTAAAAAAGAATAAAAAGCAACGACAACTAGTAAGGGCAGCTGTTTTAAAAGGCAAAGATCCAGCGCAGATTATCGAAGAAATGGAGAAGATTGATCAGATGGGTTAGTGGAAAATTATATTTTGTATAGATTATACTTCAATTTTAGAACTATTATATATGTAATATATTTCTTTTTTTTTTAGAATATAATGTAATGCAACCACCTCCTTTGAATGAAAAAGTATTGAAGGATAAACGAAAGAAACTTAAGGAAACTTTAGACCGTGTCTTAAAAATGTATGTAAGTATGTAAATAGCATGATTGTAAATTTCCTTCATTAGAGTATTGGTAAGCTTATGATAAAAATTAACAACTGATTTATTAATTGCAATATAACTAATACATCACTTTACTTTTTAGGCAAAAGATGATCAAGAAAAATGGGCTGAATTGAAGGAACAATTGATACAATATGAACGTAGAAGAATAGACTTAGTTTCTTATTTTGAAGCTGTACGACATGCACAGCAAGTACAAGTCGATGAAATTCCCTTGCCATCGGCCGCTAATGATATATCCAGGATGTATCCAGGTAAACATAATATGTTACTCTAAAAGATATAGTTATAAAACTAAAATACAAAACTTTTCTATAATACAATTTTATAATTTCTGTTAGTATAAAATTACGAGTTATACTACTAGTATAATAACTAATACAAATATTTCCATAGGATCTTTGACATCGCAGATTCCATTACCAGATATGCCACAACCACCTACGCATATGTATCCACCCCATCCTCATTATATATCACAACACCATCCTCTAATGAATATCCCAATACCACCAAGCATCTTAAAAAAGACCAGCGCATATACAACTTCTTCATCTTTGCCTACACTGGCACCTAATAAGGAGCCGCCTGGTGTACCACCATTTCCACCTCCCGAGCTGTCAAGCGACGATGAAGATATGGTTGAACATGTATTTAAATTGAATATAACTTGAATCAAACTGTAAATATAAGATATAATATTAACATTTTTTGCAATTGACAGGTTAAGGATCCACCAGCAAAATCGAGAACGATACGATTTGCCGATGATAAGGAGGACAACAAACAAGAGTCAGAAAATAAGGAGAAAGATGTGGAGAAGGAGAAAGAAAAAGACAGAGATATGGTGAAAGTCAAGCCGACTACATTGCAACAGAAAATGTTAGCGATGGCTGGACAAGATATCGATCAGTTTATGCGAGAGATGGAAGTTGTTCATAAAAAGAGAGAGACTGAGCGTGCCCAGGATCTTAATGCACGATTATCATTACTAGAAGCAGAAAACGATTCTAATTCTAAATCTAATAATAATAAGTCCAATAATAAAGGAGATGACGAAGAGTTGGAACCACCCGGAGCATCGGATCATCTCTCCGGCCACGGGCAACATGCGTCTCATCTCCATACACAGCACACGCAACAACATGTGATGCCACCAATGGGCATACCACCTCCACCCTTACTTTATCGACCACCTCCGCCGCCATTACATCTCAGAATGCCGCCGCCGCCACCACCTCGTATCGGACTCCGATTACCACCTGGTTAAAATTCTTTTAAAAATATTTTTTACTTTATATCTTCTTTAAAATTGTTATATTTAATATAAATTTGATTTAATAAGCTTAATACATAAACCACAATGTATTTATCAATAAATGTATTTGTATATAGAAGAGATTATATAATAATATGAATGATGTTTTACAGGTCCTCCACCTGGAATGCCG